TTTTTCCCCCCCTATGGATAATTTCCTATGTGTAAAACGACAAAGGAAAGGTTGAATTCGAGAGTAGAGGATCAGCCTGACTTGATTTTGCAAGAGCAAAGAGATGGCTCCTAAGTATTTAAAACTAATTTCCCCATTTAAATTTGACTTTTTGAAGTGTACGAATGAGACAGAAATATAGGCTATCAGTCTGTTTAAAAATTTCATCCACATAATGGAAAATTTTTTCATTTATTAAAAATATCACATTTTGAGACTAGAAACAGTAAAGTGCATGAAAAGTTTAAAATATAAATTCAAGAAAAATCTTATAGCAGCAAAAAAGCAGAATAAAGAAAAACTTAAAAACACAGACACAACCTTTTCCTATCACTGTGCCTTTTTTTTTTTTTTTTTTTTTAACATTAAGCAGCCAACCAATTTTTCAGACAATTGCATTATGTTTAATGCCTCTTCAGGCACAAGGTTTTGAACTGGCCACCTAGAGCATAAAAAAGGATAAAATAGAAAAAAAAAAAAGGATTTCCAACACATCCAAAGAGCATTAACAGTCGGGAAAATGAACCAGCAGCTTTTTAAGTCAACCCTGACCAAGAACAGAAAAGAAAAGTTGTTAAAAAAGTGTGCTGGCTATTTGGCAAGTAGGGTCAGGAAAAACCGACGCTGGGCGTTCAACGCTCACCCGCAACGTCTGGTCAGACGTAGCTTCGCTGGAAATTTGGTTGTAAATGAGATAAAGTCAGGAGAATTTAGACCTCCAATTTGATCACAGATACTCATCTATCTTTGGTTTTCTAATTTTGGTTAGAGGAGGGGCAGGGCCACACTGCTGATTGTTTATAGTCAGGTATTAAGTGCTTCGCTGATGTGCAAAATTTATTTCAGATGCAGAGTTCAGTTTCCGTTTTGGGTTCAAACGAACGGTAGTTCTAATGTTCTTCCTACAAAACAAGCTTTTTTTTTGTTGTTGTTGGTTTGGCTCAATTTGCCACGTTCTGGACAAAAGCATTGTCTTGAAATACGCTAATAAGCGAGTTTTTAATCTCATTTGTGAGGGCAGCCTCCTACCGAAACGAAAAAGCTTGCCAGTTTTAAAAAAAAAAAAAATTAAAAATCTGGAAAAGGAATAATACTTTGGTTCCAGCCCTAGTGCCAAATGATACCAATATGCACCAAAATGTGCAAAATCTCCTATCAAACACATAAGGAAAGGAGCTTGAAGAAGCAGCTGGAGGTTGGCCATACTTCACTCCTACATACTTGGATTTACAACTGTACAGGTCCGTGACGACAGGTCCTCGCCCTCCCAGGGACAGGTCCTCGCCCTCCCAGGGCAGGGCTCCACTACCTCCTGCTGGGCAAGTGCACCCCGTTGACGAGAGGCAGGAGCGGAGGGTGGAGTTCGAGTTGTGTTAACAGTGAGAAGTGGTCTGAAGGGATGTGAGGGTGTGGACACCCAGTGATGTTGTTGTCAACCAGCCACTGAGGATCCAAAGGCCCCAGGACGCCGAGCACGTTCATGTGAGGGTTGGAATAGAAAATGTAGTCAATCACACCCTAGGGAGAAAGAGAAACGCGACAGTGAGATCAGACCTTGCTCCTGGCAACCTGAAACTCGAGTAGCTTCCGGGAAGAGCTGGAGTTGGGCTAAGAAACACGTTGGGTGATCAAAGCAAGGATTTGGGTGAGGTAGGAAAAGCGTCCAACGGGTGGAGGAACCAGTGAGGAAACGTTTACAGGAACAGAGGGCAAGACAGCCAACGGTCAGAAAATTAAGACAGCGTCCTGGGGAGACCAGGTGAACGTCTGCCATTTGAGAAAAATCACTGCTTACTTTGAAATCGAAAGTGTAATTGGTGTAAGGCATCAAGTTGTTTTCGTAGGCGCTCTTCAGCTGGAAGCCATGCGTAATCCTGCCTTCCGAAGCCCCGTTTTTCCCGTTGCCACTGAAGTTCATGAGACACTCGTTGTAACGCAACTCCTTGAAGTCCTTGTGGTTGTCGGCTACTATGCCATTGCTTAAGTATTCCACTACACCTGTTTGCAAAGGAAAGGATTCAGGGAGCTGCTTTGAAATACAACATTCCGGGAACGTTGGCCTCGAAGTTAAAAGCCAAAACACCAATAAGACACGCTGTGAGATGGGAAAAGAGCTTTCCACCTAAGGGGAAATCCACACGGCGGCTGCCTTGTCGGCGTCTGAGCCGTACACACCTTTCTGACGCGCGGCCGGGAAAATCATAGAATCACAGAATGGTTTGGGTTGGAAGGGACCTTAAAGATCATCCAGTTCCAACCCCCCTGCCATGGGCAGGGACACCCTCCACTACACCAGGTTGCCCAAAGCCTCATCCAACCTGGCCTGGAACACTTCCAGGGATGGGGTAGCCACAGGTTCTCTGGGCAACCTGTTCTAGTGCCTCACCACCCTCAGAGTGAAGAATTTCTTTCCTGTATCCAATCTACATCTCTCCTCTTCCAGTTTAAAGCCATTGCCCTGTGTCCTGTCACTACAGACCCTTGTAAAAAATGAGGCTCTCCGGTGCTTTTGAGCCCGTTTTTTGAGGATTGCAGTAAGCCCACAGTACATGTAGGGTAGTAGGTGTGTGACGGGGTGCTGCAGAGGCACCTTTTGTACGTGTACCTGATACTACGGTACCAAACGTCATAATTAACAAAGCAAACCCACTAGAAAGTTTTCATGTCCCATCACGAACTCCCATCTTTCTTACTTCTGTTGCTGCTCAAGGCATGGGTATTTATTTAACCATTTTAAGATCCATTTGTGCTTTTTTACACCTAGGCGTAACCGACATTTCTGGAGCGTACAACTCACCACGAAAAGCGGTCTACTCAAGCAGACTTGCATCCTCTTCAGCCAGATTTCCAAAGACAGCTGTCATCCATACCTACCCAGGCAGGTGCAAGCCACCCCATCGCCCCCAGAGGAAAAGAGGATTCCAACGTTCTAAAAAGGTAAGTTAAAACTTAAGCCAGACTCAAGTCTTACCTGAATCAGGCAATGAGTTGAGATCCGCACACAGCACCAGAGGGATAGAGTTAGGATCTGCTGTTGGGCTACCGGGCCTGCTTGAGGCTTTCTCGAGGATATTTTTCAGTTCCGAGACAAACATCATCGTCTGGACGAGTTTCACATCTGAGTATTCGGGGTCCCAGTGCATGTGGGCATTGGCCACGATAAGCAGCTGCTTGTCCACGTGAAGCGATTTCATACCTGGATAGACAAACACGTCGTGATCAGCGAAAGGCCGATTGTGTGACTACGACAGATGTTCCCCTGTTAAGGTTCAGGGTTTAGCTACTGAGGGCTCCAGCTCAGAGACACCAGCAGATGGATGTATTTTCACAGCTGGAAGAAAAGGCATTACCTGAACCACTACTTGATCCTAAATCAGCAGCATTTACCTAACGTTACGTGAGTAAATCTCTCCAGCGCAGGAAAGAATAGCCAGCATAATCTGATATTGTTACAATTGCCTTCTTTCTCTGCCGTTCAAGTGGTCATCACTTGACCTTGCACCACTGACTCCTCGCTGCCATGGTATGGGAAAAACCTTTTCCCTTAGGAATAACTCACCTCTGCTTAAATGAATGCAGTATCAACCTGGCTGATGCGAAACGCTGTAGCTGCTTTGGCTGTTTGCCTGAGAGGGCTTTGAAAGATGGGGCAGAAAATCACAGGCAGCTCCTTCCAGCACTGCCTTTTGGACATCCTGCTCCTTGGAAGGGTACAGTGGCAACGAGCGATCAAAAAACCAGAGCAGCCAGAGCAGGGTGGCAATTTTAAGCACATGGAAATTGTCTACTGTATCTGATCAAACTTCATGAAAATGTGGCAGTCAGTTGATCCAGTGGCATGAAAAGATAGCTAGATGATCTTTAAGGTCCCTTCCAACCCTAACCATAATCTCCTTCTTCCACATCAGTGCATTAGCACTGTCATGTAATCACTGGGGGAGGGTGGAAGGATTCAATCAAGCTGGGGAAAAAGAGAGTTGAAAATAGAATTTGAACATCACCGACAACGACCGGTGAGAGCATATGCGTGTGAACACACCGACCTGGGAAAAGCTTCAATTCTTCAAGTAAAATTTAACAGAATAAGTAAGCAGGGACAAGAACTTGAAAGGAGAGAGCTCAACGCTGGGCATTGAGGCAACCAGTCAGGAAATCATCCGTGCCCTGTCTTAGCCACCGACGGGCCATCGCTTCTCAAGTTGGCGCAGTGAACAGCGTCTGATCATCGGCGAGTAGTTGGTGACCACCACCAACGGCAACCATATTGTAGGGAGCCGTGCTACCTCGGAATAACTCCCGCCTTGACGTGGCACCGAAGAACCCATGAGAGAACCCCGGTCATACTCACTCGCTCCAAACAATTCTTTGTGCACCTCCAACACCACGGCGACTCCGATGTTGTCCTTCGTCATCACTCGGTTTAACATCGCTTCTGAACCTTCCGAGTTGGCCATCGCCACCTGGTTGAACTCCACCGTGTGCTTCTGCACCAGCGTGAATCTGAGGAAGCAAAGAGAATCACGTGTGGACACGGCTGACGTGCAGCTGCGTGAGAAGAGGCGCTTTCTATCCGCGCTCCGCTCTGCCGCGTCCGAGGAGAGAGCCCGGGGGACCAGGTGAGGCACGTTGCTTGGGTCTTCTCCTTTTATAAAAGTCAAAACAGTTCTAAGAAGTATTCTCCTAGTCAGGATAAAGCTCTCCCTCTGGCAGCTGAGAGACTCTCAGGGGAGATGAGAGACCTGGGGTTTGGGAAGCGTTCACTCGTTTCGGCGTAGCGCACCGGGAGGACTATTCAGAGCAACGCCCGGAGGTTATCGCACCTCCTCAAGAGTGTTCTAGGCAAAAAATGAAGATAAGATGGTAACTAGAGGCTTGCCTTTTATTTTGGGAAAACACATTATTAAAAACCAGCTTCTTTCAAACCACTAGTTACCACCATTAGTTGGGTGGAATTGGTTTTTTATTCCTTTCCACTCTTCGGATGCCCGAAAACACCTTCTTTCAGGACAAACTGAAGGTTTCCTACTCAAAGGGGTTTTTTTTTGTTTTGTGCTCTACGAAAATTTTTAAAAAGAGTAATATTAGTGTTCTGTTTTCACCTGAGAGCAGCACAGCGTAATAACCACTTCTCTGCACACCCTTGTTAGTTTCAAAGTTTGAAAAATATCAGAAGTCTTGTTTTCACAGACTTCCTCTATTCTCAACAAGTCGAGTTGGTTTTAGTCATCATCTGAAAGGCACGTTTTTGTTTCCAGAAACAGTGAAAGCTCCGAAACGGGCACACCCTTGTTAGTTTCAAAGTTTGAAAAACATCAGAAGTCTGTTTTCAGACTTCCTCTATTCCCAACAAGTCGAGTTGGTTTTAGTCATCTGAAAAGCACGTTTTTGTTTCCAGAAACAGTCAAAGCTCCGAAACGAAGCTGAAGCTTTGCAAAACTTCCATTCTAATGACTGCAAACTGTTGCAAGGGAATATTCAGAGGGATGCTCGGCGTGGTACAACCCATGAGCAGTTTACACAGGTGAGAAGTGTGAAGGCCACCACCTCTCCTCCCTTCCCAACAGTTTGCTTTCAGTGTACCACAACTCTTTGGCTCAGGTATTCGACAACGTAACGTTTCGATTACTTTTCCGTTTTGAAGAATATTGCACAGCCGTCCACGTGCTTCTTCTCCTGCTCCGACATGATTTTGGCACGTGACTTGGGAGAAAAGAAGCCGTCGTATCCTCGTTCCTTCAAGGCTGGCAGAAAAAGGGTGAAGTATTGCTCCGTTTCCACTTCCTGCAACGGAACACAAATACTTTAGAGCTCACAAAGTCACCTAAACCCTTCTTCTCGCTGCATGGCAACCTGGGCCTGCCTTGGCTTGCCCTCAGCAGCTCTCACCAACGTGGAAAGCTTCAGCTGGCACAAATCATGTCACTTCCAAGATTAACAGCCTGCTGGAAACAGATTGGCATTCCTTTTTTATATCCGGGAATTCCCCCCAAAAGGGAAAGTGACAGGTGTATTTTGAAGAGCAACAGATTACACCTGATATTTTTGACATCTGAAAGCGGACACCGTCCTCGGTTCAAACTTCAGAGAGCTCGACAGACATCCAGCAGCAATTAATATTTAATCTGCAGAGCGCTTTGGCACGAGGGTCTCTCGCTGTTCTGTAGCAACATTTGGTCTCCAAGAGGATTTCCGAGGTTGATCTCTTGAGGTTTTTCAGACCAAGGCAACTACTCTCTTCTTGTGCAAGATTTTTGCTTACCAGAGCTTGCTTAAAACCCGAAAGATTCATAGATTCATAGATTTCTAGGTTGGAAAAGACCTTAGAGATCATCGAGTCCAACCATCCCTAATCCCCATTAAACCATATCCTCAAGTAGATCATCCACCCTATTCTTAAACACATCCAGGGATGGGGACTCAAAGGCAACTACTCTCTTCTTGTGCAAGATTTTTGCTTACCAGAGCTTGCTTAAAACCCGAAAGATTCATAGATTCATAGATTTCTAGGTTGGAAAAGACCTTAGAGATCATCGAGTCCAACCATCCCTAATCCCCATTAAACCATATCCTCAAGTAGATCATCCACCCTATTCTTAAACACATCCAGGGATGGGGACTCGACCACTCAAGATCAGTTTAAAGGCAGAAGCATTCAACTGTTGTAAACATCGGCAATAAATTTCTAATAACGCAGCGGGATATCTGTTCCAAGGACAATGGATATTTAACTCTGACCATGAGAGTCCCTTTGTTTGGCAATGAGAGTG